CTGTGCAGGGGGTCGGACTTGATCATCTGTTGAGGTCCCTTCCAACCCTAACACCTATGAATCTATGAGTGGCTCTTGAAGCCACTCTAATTAAAGCCCCCCCACCTCCTGGAGCATGTGTATAATTGCTTTAGTGTACATCTTGTCAGTCTTGCATTGTCCTTTTTCATGGACTTCAACCAACATAAAGGGGCATGATCCAAGGTGAACCTTCAACCTAACAAATAATACTGGAACATCTCTATCGCTCACTTGATGGTGAAATGTTCCTTCTCAAAGGTAGAATATGCTGTCGCAGAGCTCTGAGGTGCCCTGCTTCTAAAGAGGAGAAACTGCTATAGAAAAAGCCCTAGCAGTGAATAAGGAGCCCAGTTGTTGGTTCCCAGGGCAACTGGAGTCAGCAAACGACCCACACCTGCCAGCGGTCAGCTGACTCTAAGGGGCAGGGCCTGGCCCTTATAAACTCTAGGAGCTGAGGCCAGGGCAGTTCCCTGCCAGCAGACAGAGAGGGAGGGGGGCAGGAGCTCCTATGCCAGGATACGAGAAGAAGCCTGACTGCAGGTACAGCTTAAGCTGAGTAAAGGATGGCAGCTCTAAGATGTCTGAGCAATGTGGTTTTAGCCAGGCGGCTTTAAGTTATGTTACAGCCTAGGGGCTTGTGTTTTGCTTTGTTGTTGTTACACCGGTGATTTGGGTGAGGCTATTAGGGGTTGGAGGAGGCCTCATAGGGGACCCACAGTAGCGTGGGGACCCCAGCGTCAGTAAGGGCGTGGCGTACGGGGTGCATAGACCCCAGCCCCAGAGAGGGGGCACTATTGAGAAGCCCCAGTGCGGGCATGGTGATCCCCTGAGGAAGGGCGTAGTACTGCGGTGAACCCTGAGGAAGGACATAGCATTGCGGTAAACCCTGGAGAAGGGGGTAGCAGTGCGGTGAGTCCCAGAGAAAGTGGGTAGCAGTGTGGTGGGCCCGAGAGACAGGGCAGCTTTACCGAGAAGGCCCTGAGACAGGGCGGCTTTACCGAGAAGGCCCAGTGTGGGCACGGAGAGCCCCAGGAGAGGGGCAGCGTTCCTGAGAAGGCCCCAGAGAAGGGGGCAGCACTGAAGAAGGCCCTGAGAGAGGGCAGCAGTACTGAGGAGCCCCAGAGAAGGGGGCAGTATTATCGCAAGGGGCAGCATTGTGGAGAAGGCCCTGGAGAGAAGGGTGGTGTTATTGCAAAGTCCCCAGAGAGAGGGCGGCGCTGCAGAGGATCCCTGAGAGAGGGCAGCACTACGGAGAGGACCCCAGAGAGGGTGAGTGTATATTTGACAGACCCACGTCTATTCCAGCTGCGAGGCTTGGGGCGTCGTATAAGGGGTAGTTGGAGCCATGCATAGCCCTTAAGGCTAGGGTGTCCCTGAAGCACCCATCATAGAGTGAGAACCCATAAGGGGCCCGGGAATCCACGGGGTCTGAACCAACACCAAGAAGTGACCAAGAGGGCATAAGGCAGCTTCCCAAACTTATCTAAACATGAAAGACGTGGCGGGCGGGAATTAGAGGGGGGCCCTGGGCTGGCTTGGCCAGGAGAAAGGGGCCTGAAGGAGATCACGGCCCTCCTGTAGGACCCCGCCCGTGACACATGCTTTTTCTTTTGGGTGTAGTTTCCGGCTTATATAAGTAACGGGAAACTTCGTCCCCTCTTTCCTTTGACATAATACTGTTTTTAATGCCATATTTCATGTATCAGCCTGTACAATACATGGTTGATTGAACTCTGAGGTATAAAACACTGTGGAGTGGCATAAGGCTTCTCTGGCCTTCTGGAAGGCCTATTCTGCTTCCTGGGACCACTGCACTTTTTTAGGCGCACTAGATTGGGGGTTGAAGTTGGGGGGATGCTGGCTAGTGCACAAGTGGGGGAGGGCAGGGAAGGGGTGAGGGTCTAAAAATAGTCCTGTGCCAGGGGGTGGGTAGGAGAAGTGCAGCCCCAGGAGTGAGACCAGTGGCTGACTTTTTCCACCCCTGGGACTGCGCTGGGAACTGTACAGAAGTTTGATTCATCGATCTAACTTAGATCAATCTGACCTGAGTGCACATCAATCCAGGTCTATCTTAGACAGGGTTCTGCCATTTTTAGACTGGTCTGTGTGTGCCAAATTTCTGTACAGTTTGCACTTAAATCCATGTGACTAGCGATCTAAGTGTAAGGTCCATACCTGGGCAAACTAAGTAAGATCAGATGACCGTTTTGAATGTTATCTAACCTCTCCCTAAGCTCCATGAATGTCTGTACTTAGCCACTCTTCTGTGCGGGGAAGTAAATAGATTATGTACTATTAATTAGCACTCTACAAACAGGGTTTTCATTCTATTTATTTAAATAAAATAAGGAAATCTAGTAAAACTGTTTTATCTAAACACATAATTAAATCCTATTCAATAAGCTGCCTAGCCATGCATTGGTCTTTACAGTGAGCGTATTCTGGCTGCAGTGGAACTGCTCACATGATGGAAATTGGGTATTTTTTCAGGCATATTGGTAAAACAAGTCTTTAAAGCTACATAGAAAGTGAAGAGGTAAGTCTAATAAGATACAATCTCACTCTTGCTGAAATCGGTGGTTTTCTATGGGAGAAGGAACATGGGTGTTGTAAGTCAGTCATGTACATGTTCCACATATATTTAAATATTGAGTTATCTATTCTCATTAAAAAAACCTTTTTATTCTTCAGTTCCTATTCTTTCTATGCCTATAGAAATTAATAACTTCAGAAGTGTTTTACAGTTCTAGTTCCTCATTAGAGGGAGAAATGTGGGATGATGCGATGAGCAGGTTTACAAGTTAGTCTTCCTTTGTTTTGCCCCTTGCTTTTCTTTCATTACCCCAAATGTGGGGGAAAACCAAAGAGGGTCTTTTTTGGGTATTTCAAGTATAGTAAAAATAATACCTGTCTCCTTTACTAGCTCCTTTTTCCAGTGCCTCTGGCTTGTAGTAGGGGGAAGGAGTACTGAAAGGACAGTGACACTAACCTTGATGACAGAGGCTGTTGAAAATGCATTTAGACTCTTGGAGGGACATCACTTCTTTTTAACCTTCAGCCAGGAACCCAGATTTTCTTTTAAAATATTTAATTTTTTATAACAAATTAGTAATTTTCAAGACTTTTTTCATTTTAGGGGCCTTGATGCTCTCAGCAAGAAAGCAAAGTCTTCCACGGTTGACTTGCCTATTGAGTCAGTCAGCCTAAGCCTTCAGGACCTGATTGGCTACTTTCACCCACCTGATGAGCATTTAGAGCATGAAGACAAACAAAACAGGCTAAGAGCATTGAAAAATCGACAGAATCTCTTCCAGGAAGAGGTAATTTTTTTTTTCTTTCTCATATACTTCCAGTGATGTGTGTGTTAATAGTTTTTTTTACGAGCTTTGATTTTTCCAGTGATTTTAAGCTGGATAGCTTGGTGGATATAGTAGATATTACATGGGAAACTCCATTATTCTAAATATCTAGGCCCAGATCCTAGTCCACATTTCAGGTGTCTAAGTTCTCTTTCATAGTTCAAAAAAGTAGGCATCTCACTTCAGAATACAATCCTATTTCATCTAGGGTGATTTGTACTTGTTTCATTTTGTGAATGAGAAGCTATATATGAATCTGGATGGCAATTCTGTTTTGCCAGGAGAGGCTGGTAGCTTTCTCATTCTTTCACTGGATAGCCTTATGCACTTAGGTCATATCTGTTGCTTGCAGACATTAAAAAATAAAAGTGCTACCTGAAATAGCAGCACATTACTTCAACCTGGCACTGCAGCATTTATATAGATTGGGCACTTCAGTTGGGCTTTTTGGTGCTTTTAGCTAAAGCTGATTCAATCAGCTATTACATAGAAGTGCCAAAAAAGCCTCACTAAAGCGCCCAATCTATATAGATGCTGCAGAGCCAGGCCCAATTAAGATGCTGTCTTTTCTGGGCCTGTGCTGCACTTGTAGGTGGGAATACCTACTAACATATAGTGCAAACTATGTGTTATTAGTTCAAAGCCAAAGGCTCATGATATACCATATAGTTCATTGGGCTGGGACCTAGCAGGGTCAACAGCATTTCAAGCCATGGTGACCCCACAGCTCAGCACTGCTCAGTATGTGTGTGTACCCTGGATACCACTCCCCCCCCCCCCCCCCCCAAAAAAAAATAAAAAAAAGATCCCACTCACAATTGGAACCAGGTGTTCTTGTCATAAGTCATGGGATCCTCCAAAAATATATATGCAGATGAGGTGCAGGGCAGTTTGGACCAGCTCTACTTCATGGCAGTCAGGACCATGCTAATCATGTACAACAGGCTGAGAGAGGGGCAACAGAGGAATTCTGGGTAAACTGTTTGGGGCCCCCTTTGATGTTTGCCAGACATTTGGGCTAGGGACAGACATTACACATAAACTGGTTTAAGTGATTAGAAACTGGTTTAAATCTGTAACAGAACAGATGTTCCATGTACATAAACCAGTTCGAAAATGGCTGAAACCAGTTTGAGATAAACCTGGTTGAATGTAGTAGTATCAGACTTAACTGATTTTGGGTCAAACTGGTTTATGCAATGTCTGTCCCAGACCCTTTCCTGGTTTAAATGAGCCACCCCGCATCCTGGCATTCTCTCTGGGCTGGGCACTCTGCTCCACAGCAGAGCTGGCCCTGTCCCTCTGCTCCCTGGCTGGAGCTCTGGCAGAGACTGCAGGCATCTGCCTGGCTTCCCCCTGCTCCCCCCCCTCCACTCACCACTACCTGCTCAAGCAGCATTTACCCTCTGCCTTACACAGACCCCTCTCTGCATTAGCTAGTGTACCACATTCTGGATACAGTCTGTGCTGTGGGAGACAGGACAAAGGCAGACAGGAAAATGTCAGCTTAGGGATTTTTGGGGCTAATCCACTGGTAGCTGGTCATGTCCTTCCATTCCTTCCTTGCAAAAAGTTGTTTAAGAAGAGCTTGAACTAATGAGAGAGACTTGTTTTGTTTGATGGGCTGATAAATGCTCTGTTATCAACTCCCTGTGTAACTCCCTGCTGTGTAACTCAATACTCTGTTATTCACAATGGAGCGGGGAACCCCTTCCTAATCAGAGCAACGTGCCGGGGCCTGGTTATGCCCTCCTTCCAACATTGTGGAAGGGAGGGCTGCTGTAGCACCCCCCCCCCCCGGCTTCTAGCCTGAGCCACTGCAGACATGTGTTTGCATTTCTTCAGTCCAGAGGGGATGTCTGTACAGTTACAAACTGGTTTAGCCTAGCCAGGTTAGACTAACCTACAAACATTGAATCATTTCAGGCTCAGGCTTTTAGAATGTCTGTTCTTAGCCTTAAAGTTGGTGAAAAAACAGGAATAATTGGAAATGGGAAAGAGAGGCTCAGTTCAGCTATGGGAGTAAAGAAGAAGTAAAAATGTATTCATTGTAGTGGTTCACCATGATTTGAGAGAGAGCCAGTGCTGAGGGGAACTGAATGCAATGTGCACTACAATATATCTTATTCTGAAAGGCTTCACTAACCTATGCTTGTGCTATGTATGTTAGCCCAATATGGCCCATGCATTTTAGTTATACTCAGGGTTGGCTGTTTAATCAACTTCATAGTTAGTTTCTATTACTGAGCACATGTTGCTTTTGGCATCAGTGTAATGATAGACAACGTGTTTAGTGAGGTTTCCTTGTATGCAAATGTAAGTTGAGGGCCTTTTTCTCACATGTTGATTAGGGGGAAAAAACAGGCACTGGGCTAGCAGTCAGATTCTCTAAATTAGGACTTCATATGTTCCTTTCAAGTGTAATTCATATGTACTGTAATAATAAATTCATCAGCTCAATCCTTCTTTAAAGAATTGTGTCAAGATTCAGGCATATATTTAAGCGTATGCATGTCAGTGAAGGAATATGCAGTCTTTCATTGACACCATTCATTTGCTTAGGATTAAGATACATCCAGATACCTGAGACATATATCATATTTTGGTGTGGAACTTAGGTATTTGTTTTACTCTGAGAGTCTCATATGATTAATATATTAAGTATCAAAGCACTAATTATATTTTTCATTATTTTTTAAATAACTTTCCCTTAAAATTAGTGTTCTAGTTGCATGCATACCTTCTGGGGTTTCACATGTATTACTTCTTTGTCAACATCTTTTCCCTAGTCTTTATTGCACATTTTTGCATGTTAGGCACACCTTACTCTTTGACAATACTCCTTATCTTTCTAGGGTATGATCAACCTTGTTCTCGAATGTATTGATCGCTTACATGTTTACAGCAGTGCAGCTCACTTTGCTGATGTAGCTGGGAAGGAAGCAGGAGAGACCTGGAAATCTATTCTAAACTCTTTGTATGAGTTATTAGGTAAGACACATTGTGGGCGATGGGGATTTGCTAAGTTAAAAAACATTTTGTTGAAAAAAATATCTGAAATGAAAAAGTATTGATATTATGTAGATCCTCTGGTGTAAAAATACTTTAGTGCCATATAATGCAAGTACATAAAATAAACTCACCCTTTTAGATGGAGAATAATAGCATAACTCCCAATCTAAAGAGACTCAAAACAAATGAGTCTCGGATTCAAGAAACTGATCTTTTCCCTTCAAAGTTACTTTCATAGTTGCAGCAGTGAGAGGCCTGAGGTTTTGGAGGGAAGCCTGAAGCCTTACAAAAACTTGAGTCTTATGGCAGAAAACAGAACTCAAGTATATATGAAAAGCTGTCATTTCAGACTTTCCAATATTATGCAATCATTAAGATTTATAAGACCTTAGATGTTAAGTAGTGTAGCACTTGGTCAATAATATGGAAATTGTAGTTATGCCAATAAAAAATACATTAATTACGTATAACCTGTCTGTTAAGTACTTGGAACTTAGGAAATGTTAGAAATGAGGTCATTCATACAAAATTAATATGATCCATAAACATGATACAGCCTTACAAGATCATGCACTATTTTTCTATAGGTTCCCTGAGTCATGAATGTACAGAATTGATGGTGCTCAGTTATTGAGCAACTTTTCAAGATTGTTTTCCCTTGTTAATCGGTATGTGACCCTAAGTGTTATTTACCACAATATGGGTCGAAGACAGACCTATTGATTTCGTCATTGACTTTTTCTTAGCATTTATCACAATACTGAGCGTTTACAAATATTAATGAATGTATCCTCATGATACTGATTGGAGATGAGGGTATGAAAATAATCTGTTTTTTTTTATATATGAGACGTTGAGGCGCAGAAAGTTTCTCATACCCCTGCAGCTGTGAGACCGCAAGTGTTGTGGTATCCCAGCCTTCAGGATTTGTGAAGCACCCCAGGTGCTGGGAGTCAGCATCCCAGAAACTCCCAGGCTCTAGGGTGCATATAGGCTTCTCCAGCTGGGAACTCCAATCAGCTGACAGGTCTCCCAACCACAGGAGCCTCCAGCCACATGTTCAATTAATGGGGCAATAGGAAGCAGCTACAAAGTTACTACACATATTTTGTGGAATGACTTTGTAGCTTATTCTGCTTTTTAGCATGCCATTAATTGATTTAACATGTGGCCGGCTGATGACTTAAGGTATGATTAAATGGTTATTCATGTCCTAAGAGTAATGTGTAGACAGGGCCTTATAGAGATAAGGCTTTTATAGTTGGTTTATGATTAGGACTCCTTTTGCTTGCTTAGGTACAGGATTAAGGTACAGCTGCATTTCCCTTAATGATTATCCTTTAAACACAAAATGAAGGTGCAATTATAGTTCTCTTACTTTTTTTGTTACCTTGGTGTATTGGCTTATGATCATCTTATGATCTTCATTAACAAGGCTGCTTTGTTTTTCAGCTCATCTCAGAAATTTAACAGAAATACAAATTAGACTAAAACTGTATTTGATACACTTGGTTATACCAGTCATAACTACCTGTTAAAGCTATGGTGATAGTATGTTTGGTTTATCTAATGTACAGCCTTCTTTTATAATGTCTTCCTTCAGACCTTGTGCTATGCTTAATTTGATCTGATTGAACTATGTGTGCTAATTTCTTTCTTTCCTTTGTTGACCAGACTAGGAGTCATGCATGCAAAAATACATTCTGTGATCAATCAGAAATAAGGTTTTGGAGTCTTCTGCTTTAGCCATAGTTTGTAGATTGGCATAGATCCCTTGAAAATGATCCATGTTGGCAACAAGTGTTTATACATGTCTGTCTTACAGTATTCAACAACAATCCCCCTCATCCCCCCCATTTAATAGGAGATTGCTGTTACCTCTAACTATTATTAGTGTTTTTTAAAAAGCAGTTATCCAACACACCCTAGCCCATTTCCAGTGGCCTTGACCAACAAACTTTATTCTACTTTCCCATGCTACTGTTGATGTCTAAGATGCAAGCTTAAGCTTGTCATATTGTCAAAATTTAGGCTTATGCTAGGTCTAGAGTCTGCTCATGTCATTGTGGTGTTTCAGTTACTGACCACGTCTGAACCTACAGTGGGAATGAATGCAATGTCAATGTGTAATGACAACTGCATCATAATGTACATACACCAGGGATTGAATATAGGTTTCACAAATAACTTTTACTTGTGGAAAATCCTAACATTAGAGTACTTGACTTTGCAGCCTTTATGATGTTCTACTAAGGTTCTTTTCTTAAAATGCAAATGAAAACCTTCTGGGAACTTTGCAGTCCCTATGCCCAGTAGCCTTTCTGCAGGGGCTGCAGGGCAAGACACTTTAAAATGCAAGATCAAAGAGAGTCCTGGAGCTCTCTGCAACCCCTCATGTTGACTGCCTTGTCCTGCAACTTCCTCAGATCTAGCTGCATTTATGTTTTTTAGACATCTGTGTTCACCGGGACCCTGCAGACTCAAAGGCTCCCCAGTCCCAGGTAACTGGCATTCCTTGGCCTTTAAAACTGACGTGTACAACTCAGCTCCACATGTGGGTTTTAGATCTCCTAGCATACTAAGATAGCTTAAAATTGGCATGTGAAACTGAGCTTTTTAGATGTCCAGGTGTGCAGGGACCTTGGGATTGAAGAGAGTCTCCCAGATTCCAGGGTCCTGGCATGGGAGCCTTTGGATTTGCAGCTGCTAGGCAGGGAGAAGCAAATCACATCATGCCATTAGATAAATATCTGCCAATGCCCCTGGTCTCCCCCACTTTACGTGGGTAAATCTGGGAGTGAAATGTCATATAATGTGTAATAGCTTTACCAACATCAATTTGTGGGTGACAGCTTTTGTACTCAGGAATTATTAAGATCATCCCAAAAGAGTGCTAGTAAAACTTGTGTACCTAACTAGCACTCATTATTGTACCTCTTAAACAAAGTTACATTTACAAACACTTCTGATAGCCTCTAATATTTTTTGTTGGACTGTTTTATATCCTTTTTGACCCTTTGACTTCTGGGCTGTAGTCATTAAAGAAACAAATTGTCCAGGATGTTGGTGGTAGTAAAAAAACCTCCAAGAAGAGCAAGATAGTTTTTTGATGGGCAAAACCAACATTTTGGGGAGGAGAAGGAAACATATTTCCAGAAGAGAAGCATAAAAGTGATGTTAAATATATATATATATAAGAGAAGAAAAAGGTGGATATGTGAGGTGCAGAGGAGATTAGAGAGTAAGTATAAATCTTGGTGAGCTCTTGTGGTTCTATGGGCCCTTACAGCGTAAGTGTGGATGGTGCGGTGTCTAACATCCAGTATTACTGGTTTCATCTTAGCATTGAGGGGAGCATAAACATAGCATAGTATCATTTCTGCTTGTCCTTGTTGGTGTTGCCTAAGGCATTGATCAGCCAGGCCAGGGGATCTGTTTTCTTGACTGTAGAAACTTTTCTATGAGAATTAACTGGCTGATAGTTGTAGAACTAACCCTGTTTCCTGATTAACCCTGCTTCAGAGAATCCCTTACACAACAGTCTATTTGTTCTCTTCCAAGTAGAGATTGATTTTCACGGGTGATATTTATAGAGCACAAGGCACATGTATTTATTGCAACATCTTTTCCATTATATAACTTTTCTGGTTGCAGTATTTTCTGATGGGTAATGCCTAAGAATACTGACCATAGTCTAGTAATGGTGGATTCATTTACTCTCTTGTATTGAATAATGATGTAGTTATTCAGTAATTACATACATAATAAATAGATATAGCTCATTCTGTCTTCTTTTCACAAACCATTGTTTGCCTTTAAATATGTATGTAAATCAGAGTAAGTAGTTGATGCTGTCATAGTTCATGGCTTTTCATCATGTTATTGCTTCTGTTTGTGGCATATATATCACTCTTACAATACTGAAGAAATCTGCAAGTGTTTAGCTGAAATTGGTTTTTTACATAGGATGGAAATGAGTGCAGTTTCAGACTGAGGAATTACAGCATTTATACATTTGTCCACTGTAAATATCTAAGTAACTGTATCATGTTATCAGAGCATCACAAAATAGGAAGGTTACATGGTGGTCTTAATGGGCAACATAACAGCATATATAGGCATGTAAAAGTAAATATTCTTCATTTGATTCATTAAAAGCTATGAAAAGTTTCCAATTTTCAAAACACCTTATTTGCTGAGGGGTAGGTAGGAAAGAAAATGAAACGTGGGATAGAATAATAGAAAAACAGCTCTGGAAAAGACTTCAGGAAGTCATTTAGTCCAACCCTCCCTCACTTAAAAACTTCACAACCTCTTTTAAAGTTAGTTTTTCTTAACATCCTGCCCAAATTTTGCTGTAGTAACTTGAAGCCCTTGTGGTCAGAGAGAGCAGTTGATTATCTCTGGACTTTATACCCTGGTAGAGGTTCCAGGGAAATAAAAAGTATAATGGAAAAACAAACAGCTGCCCCAAACAAGTCATCCTCTCCTTTTTCTTCTGAGACCTACGTCAAGCTGCAATCTGGCTGAACGTCTTGTAATTGGCAAAAGGATCTTGGAGTTGTTATTGGTGCCAAAATGAACATGGGTCGACAGTGTGGGGAAGCAGTCAGGAAGGCCAACCATACCTTGTCATGCATCCACAGATGCATCTCAAGCAGGTCCAAGGAGGTGATCCTCCCCCTCTATGCAACACTGGTTAGGCTGCAGTTGGAGTACTGCGTCCAGTTCTGGATGCTGCACTTCAGGAGGGATGTGGACAGTATCAAGAGGGTTCAGAGGAAGGCCACTCGCATGATCGGGGGCAGTAGGGCAGGCCCTATGAGGAGAGGCTAAGGGACCTGAACCTGTTCAGCCTCCTCAAGAGAAGGCCGAGAGGGGATCTAGTGGCTGTTTACAAACTAGTCAGGGGGGACCAACAGGCATTGGGGAAGTCCCTGTTCCCCCGAGCGCTACCAGGAGTGACAAGAAATAAGTCA